GAAGCAGAAGACCCAATACTATTATGGGCTACTGGACTCTTTTAGAATATTTTGTTGAGTTTACACACCTATAATATTCAAATAAAGGAACTTAACAAAAAAAGGGTATACATATGAATGTCCATTTTGTATCTGTGTATTCAAAGTGGTTAGGATAGATATATAGTTACATTCTCTTAATGAATAAAGTGATTTGTTCTAATGGTGTTTGTAAATAGGATCTCAAGTCCGCATCTTGTGCAGCAATTAACCACTAAGAAGAATATATACAGTGTGTTAGTTATTGAAACTGTCCTGCCAATTTGATTTGAAACTGTCTCATTGCTATTTGTTTATCAATAAAATTATGGCAAAAAAAGAATAAAACATAAGATAAAAAATGCTTGATTTTTTAAGTTTTGTTTAGTTTGGTTTGGGGCTTTTTCTGAGACATGGCCTCCCTATGTAGTTCAGGCTGGCCTTGAACTCTCTGTGTAGCCCAAACTGAAGAAATTGGGGATGGAATAAATCTCCGACACTGCGCCTCTCTACCTGCTCTCACCCAGAGGACGCGGAGCCTCTGGTCCAGTAGGGGACACCTAGCAGCACAGGTCAGGCAGAGCTGTCTGACAGAGAAGACAGCGAGGGGAAATCAAGTTGGCACAGGAGAGGCTGCACGTACTTAAAAATGTGCAAAATTATTTATTTAGGCTGATTAATATGTTCTCAAAAATCTCCCAGGAATGTTATTTTTCATGTTATCAGATGCTGACACCATCATTTTTGAAATGTTAGCAAATTCTTTGAGGCTAGTTCTTTTTCTGTTTTGTTTATTTTTGTTTTTGTCTTTGTTTTTGTTTGAGTTAGGGTCTCACTCTGTAGTCCAGGCTGGCCTCAAACTCACAGCAACCCTCCCATTTCCTCCTTGCTAGTGCTGGTATCACAGGCGTGTGCCACCACGCTGAGCTAAAAGGTTCTTAATTTTTACTTTTGGTAGCCTGAATTATCATGTAAGAAATCTAGAGGAGGCCATGTAGAGAAATCACAAGAAGGCCAAGAAAAAAGGCCAATCATAGAGGAGGTGATCCTGAGACAAAGACAAGAGAGAAATTCAGTCATTCCAGCATCCGCGCTGAGCTGGCTTCCCAGTGAGATCCATGATGCATCAGACCTGGAAGTGGTCATTTTGGATATTCCAACTCAGATGAACCCTCAAATAACCCCCCGGACAACATCCTATGATGTGGAAGAATTACTTAGCTTATAATTACAAAATTATAAGCAATAAATTGCTCATCAATTTAAGCCATTAAATTTTTGGGTGAGTGTTACATACCAATGAATAATAGTAATAGTGGGGGAAGGGATTTTGGGCTGCATCATATGATGTAAATTGCCATTGCACTCAATTCCATGAAATAATGATCTCTCTCTCTCTCTCTCAATCTCTCTCTTTTTCTCTCCCTCTCCTCCCGTCCCTCCCCTCCCCCTCCCCCTCCCCCCTTTCTTCCCTCCCTCTCTCCCTCTCCCTCCCCCTCTTTCTCTCTCTCCCTCTACAAAGCCCAGGACCTTGTGCACGCTCCACAAGTACTCTGCTACTGAGCCATACCCCTCACCCACTACTACTCACTCTCTCTGTCTCTGTCTCTGTCTCTCTCTGTCTCTCTCTCTCTCTCTCTCTCTCTCTCTCTCTCTCTCTCTCTCTCTCTCTCTCTCTCTCCTTAGATTCAGAAGTCCCTGTATTTTAGAAATTTATTAGCTCAAATTTATCAACACATTGACCTTAACATCCAATTATCACATTCAAGATCTCTACCCTGATGTACCTCAAGCTTAAAATCTGGCAGGGTGATTTTACACAATCTTTCAGTCCAATGTGTAGACTCCAGCTAGAAAACTTTTCCATCAAGTCTCCATCTTATCTAGGAAATCTTTCCTATCTTTTTCTGTGCAATCTGTTTGTGGTTTTTGAGAAATGAAATTACAACTTTTTCTGCACAATTCCTCCAGTGGATACAACATGGACCACTATTTAACTCATTCTTATCTGCTAATGATTTTAACAAGATTTTAATGTTCCTATGTTATGCTTCTTTGCAAGGAATTTAACCTTACTCACAATTTAACCTTACTTACACATCCTATAGCTTCATGTCTAGTACCCAGGGTAAGAGGTGACAAGATAGTAAGCTTCAAACTGCTGGGGCAGCCCTGACTCTATTGCGCTGCCCTTGAGCAGTCCTCATTGTTTCGATCCGGGACGCACTTACTCCTGTGACTTTCCTCAGCTGTACTACACTACAGGCTTCTCCGGCTTTCTGGGCTTTGCACTACACCTTCAGTTCCATTCTCACAGCTTCACACGCTGCTGTGTCACGGGCACGCTGCCTCCCAGGCTTTCTGAAGTCTGGGCAGAAGCTTCTCTTGCTTCACGTTCTTGTATTCTGCATGTCCACAGAACCAACACCAGGCGAAAAAGGCTGCAGTCTGCCATCAGCTTGTACAGCAGCCAGGTCCCTTTGCATCTTGCAGGTGGTGACTGGGTGGCTGGATGGATCATGCGCCTGGATGCTGAGCATGGTGAGCTCAATCTGGGGGACTCAGTTCCCTGGTTTGCCTTTTTCTTCTTTAGCTCAGTGCCTGGGGCTGTCTTCCTCAAACCAAGTCTTTCATTTTTTCAACTTTGAGCCTTCAAACCATGGGGTCCTGCTGTTTCCTGTGATGTCACCAAGCCACCATTTCTATGGTCCTGTTGTAAAGCACTTGACTTCTTTTTAACATGTTCATCAACCAAGCACTCTTCTACTCCATCTCTGCAGGTCCCAGTTTTGTTGGTTCTTCCTTTTTGGCCAAGCTCAGAACTTTTTAAAACATTCAGCTGAGCCATTTGCTCTTGATTTGCAATGTAAAGCTAGCTAAACACACCAAACAATACCCAAGCCACAGCCTGAATGCTAGGCTGCCATGAACTTCCCTTTGCCAGGTTAATAATTAGTCCAGCACCTTAATCTCAACCTCCTACAACATCTCCAGACATCAGCAAAATGCAGATAAAACTTTCTGGTATAGCATAACACTCATGGCCTAGAATCAACTGCCAACAGAATCCTTTTTCCCAACTGAAACCTCTTGAGCCTGGTCCTTACATTACTGTCAATGTTCTGGTCCTCTGAACTTGACTACAGTCTCCCATCAAGCTCAGCTTACAAGAGTCTACAGTGGCCTCTCTGGCCCATATCACCCAAGAACCAGTTCCAAAGGCTTCTGAACCACATGCTCAGGCAGCCACAGCAATGACCCTATTTATCTAGCACCAGAATCGGTCACAGATCCTTTACTCATCAACGGGGACACAAAATCTGATACTTATAGCCAAAAGGAGGAAGGGTTTATTTTGGGTTTGTACAAGTTTATTGCACAGTCAGCTGGCTCCAAGACAGGGTGGCATGGAAGAGGGGCATCACAGAGGCTTGATAGAGGAAACTTGATCCTGGCATGGTGGGTGGGAAGCAGAGCACTAGCAAGCGGGGAGAGGAGGAGATAGGCCCGACAGGCCCTCCTAGTCCACATCGCCAGAGACCCTCCTCTGACCAGCTTCTCCTAAGCTGTGGCTTAGCCCACTGATGAGTGTCATGTCTCTGTGACCCAGTCAACCATAAAAGCCTCACCTATAATCACATGAAGCTTTGAGGGGACATCTAGATATAAGCCATAACAGGGATTTCACTCTTCCTCTCTCTCTCTCATATTTTATTACTTTTTAACTCTCTTAAAGCTCCTTATCCCTTTTTAGGAAACACTGGTGAAAATACAATAAAGGAAGCCTTAGTGTAAGCATCTGAAATTGGGAACAGTGAAGGGTACCTTGTTTGATTTTAGTGTAAACAACTCTCTAAAACCCAAACTTTGCTGTATTTCAGAATGAGACCAGTGAGATAATTAAAAGCTGTATTTGTCTACGTTATTCATTGTGGCATGATCTCCAGCTCTTACTTTCATTTGCCTATGTCTTGTTTCCACTCATTCAAAATGTGATTCAAAACACAACAAAACATGACACCACCACTCCTTTGGCCTTCATGTACTTATTCTCAGTCCAGGATTGAAACACTTGACATCTGTGGCAGTTGGCTTCTTTCTACATGCTCCATTTTATACTGTACATAGTATCTTATATCCTTTATCTCACACACATAAAGAAGCACCTTATACACCCTCAGACCAAACCGGGACAAAGTGCACTTTGCAGTTATCCTCCCTTACTTCTCATCTAGCTGTTTTAAATCAGAGAAATTCATTTCACTTCCAATTTGTGTTATTTCCACAGCAAAATCTTTTGGGGGAGTATCTTGGCCAGGCCTCTCCTGGAGACTTGAAAAACTAGTGCAGCGATGCAGCTGACTTTTCTTGCGGTGTTTTCAGTGCCAGGAACCAATCTCAGGGCCTTGTCTATGTGAGGTAAGCACTGTACCACTGAGCTACAGCCCCGTCCCCAGTTAACAGTTTTCAAGACCGAAGTACATTCTACAAGAAATTTCTATTGTTTGGTTCTTATTAGCCAAAGCTCAGAACACTGAGTCTGTCCCAGGCCTATAAATAGCAAGTAGTATACAGGTGAGCAGAGTCTGGGGAAGTCATGCTTACCGAGCACTAATCCATCTCTTGGAAATTCCCATCTCGAGTCATAAGGCAGTTGCATCGGATCCACATAAATATATTCATGTCCATCAGGGCTGATTGATTCAATGACCCTCCAGCGAATTTCATACCTCGGTTTCTATAAATGAGCAGGACAGGTAACTGGTGAGCCGTCTAAGGCCTTAGGCACCAGGCTTACCGTAGTAATGAAGGGATTAAAGACAGGGGAGCCCAACACCATTCATCCCACTTGGCGTTACTGACCCCTTCTCTGTGCTGACTGCTGTCCTAAGCTGCTGTTCTTATTGGGTTCAAATGCTTCAGTGCTTTGTGAAAATACCTACCTGCTTCCAAATGACAACCAGGACAATCAGTGAGATGATCACAATCACCAACAACACCAGCACTGCAGCTGCCACTGTGAGTTCAGAATGCAGGGCTAGAAGACAAAGAGGGAGACAGTGGGGCCTTTCCTCCAGGTACTAGGCAAACAGGAAGTTGGTGGTGGTGCCTGGTCCAAATCTCTCACTGCCTCTCTGGGCCATGTTAGGAATAAGCCATACCATCTCCCAAATATCTGTACCCATGAAACTACACCAACTCTTCTCATTTGAAAGGGCAATGGATGAAATTCAATCTCAACACTTTGTCCAAAGATTCTTCAAGAATAACCTTTCAGACAGAATTTTATTAGGAATAGCATTGATAAATGAGATTGAGAGCTACTATATGTATAGAAACCTATATTATAAAATATAGGTTGAAAAGCTGCGTTTTGCTCCAATTGCTTTGCCCTCATTTGACCTTTTAGCATTCACGCTGTCTCCACTGTTGTGAAGAGCAAGGAGGCAGGACCGCCCTCTTCTTCTCCCTTCACCCACTCATAGACGTTGAGAGTAAAGAGACTGAGTGGCTGCACTATTAAGACACAGAAATGGCCAGCGTGCCCTGCAAGATGCAGCTTTGAAAACAATAATAATTTTAAAATAAATAAAAGGTATAATAAGTACACACCCAGGAGGTGGTAGGGAAATCGGCATTTGTATCGCAATTTGGATCTCAATTGAGTGATAACACATCAAGGCTTCAGGCGCAGCGTTGATTAAGTGTGTGCCATAAATCACCTTCGTTTAGTGAGAAATACTTCAAATCTAATTATTCCATAAACTATCAGTCTAAATTTGGAAACTGACCCTATTTTCAAATCAACTTCTATTTCATCAGAGGTGCTGGCACAGGCTTCAAAATGACTGTACTTAAGCCCACTCAAAGGGAACAGTGATTGCCTTATTATTATGTGCAGTTTTATCGGGACAAGAAGACTTCAAGGGCCCACAGGGGGACTTTTTGCAGCCCCTTATTTGTGTTGTCAAAGCACAGTCTTTCTCACACAGGGAAGTCTCATGGTGTGGTTCTCATACTTCATTTTCATATTTTAGATACAGAGGCATAATACAAGTCCATACGCAACTTGGATGGCAGAGAAAAATAGCA